ATCCACCCTCATTGTTGGCAGACCACCTTCACCTATTAGCCGGTGGACTATAATCATGTGGTTGACGCCATTGCTACATTTATGCCTACATTGTTGGAATGCAATCATCAAATCATTATCATATGGCTATCACTACTACAAGTAATGGATCACTATCTTCTAGTGTTCATCGTCATTGGTGATGAAAAATTATGATTTCTATCACACACCCCTTATCGTCAATCTTCCATCATTACAATTAGTTGTGAAACCCTTTAAATAGAAAAAAGCTAAACTCCTAAACATCGTGGCATCTTTTGGTTTAACGGTAGAATTTCATCAAAAACACCAAATGTAAGTGTGCTTATGTGGGATCACTCCTAGGATGTGTGGCCTCCTAGGAAGTTACACCAATGGGGCAAAATTATGATGGTGATTAAGCCAAAGAGAATAATATCTCGATGCGTGAGCGTTTGGGCTATCACAAATAGTATTAGAGCATTACACCAATCAGAAGATGAGAACCAAATGTCATATAGAATAATGTGTTTTGTCATGGGAGCCACCTCTTGAACCTGAGTTGAGACAAAGTACTATATGGTGGGAGTCACTTCTTGAATCTAAAGGGGTCACCTCTAGAATCATATATATTTAGTAAGTGATTCTAGGTTAAGAAAAATGATGATGACATGAACTACTTCAGTGATGGAGATTTTGAAATCCCTTAAAGAGAAAGAAGCAAAACTCATAAACATCGAGACACCATTTGATGTAACTGTGAAATATTAAAAGAAACTCCAAAGTTAAGTGTGTTCGTGTGGGAGCACTCTTAGAATGGGTGACCTCATTGGAAGTTACACTAATGAGGCAAAACTATGAGATCATTAGGCTAAAGTAGACAATACCTTGTGGCCGAGAGTTGAGGCTATCACATGGGTTGTTGTCACTTACTAATCTTTTTGGTCTATTTTTAAGTGAGAGTCATGTCAATTTATTTCACTCTTGTGATATTATTTTATATTTTTTAATGCAAACAAAATATTGTAACAAACATCATTCGTAGGATGGGTGACTTCTTGGGAGGTTACACAAATAAGATAAAATCGCGAGGCCATCAGGCCAATGCAGAGAATATCTCGATGGATGAGAGTTCATATTCTCATACAGATCGTTGCCACTTCACAGGTTTTTTTTACCTTGTCTTTAGTGAAATTCAAGCCTATTTATCTCACTCTTATGGTATTACTTTTTGTTTTCATAGACAAAACAAAGTTTTGTAACATACTTACGAAAACATTTCAATTTGATTAGGCCTAGTGGTTTCTTTTCCCTTTCCCTAGAATTCCCTCTTTGAGCTCTTATTTTATCTGTATGTGTGTTGGATTTTCATATGATGCTAAGACGTTAAATAATACCACAATTGTGAATTCCCCAACATGTAACAATAATATTAAAACTAATCTCTTTTCTTAAAAAAAAATTGTCAAATTAATAATTTGATTAATAAAATTAAGTAGATAATGCATATCTAATGCATGGCTTGAAATCAAAACTTTGGATTTAATTGAACTTTTTTGCACATATACATATGTGACCAATATTATGATGATCATCCAAATGACATGACAATAAAATAAAATAAAATAATAAATAAAGCAAATTTCATTAATAAAAAAATTATGACTTAAAATTTAAGTAATAAATCAAGCTAATCAAATTAATCTCCTAATAATATGATAACTTTTTTTTATTTAAGAAAAATATAAATGTATTGTATTTAAATTAATTTTCATTGCCTCAATCATTTTCAAATTAATAAATAGATCATCTCATTTATTTATTAAAAAATAAAAAATAATTAATTATGAGAGAAAAAAAAATGTTAAAGTAATTAAAAGTATTTTTAAAATTTTACTAACTACAAGGTAATTAAAATATTGCATTAATATATTTTTACCAATTAACTAATTAAATACCAAAAAAATATTATATTTTTTTTCCATCCATCATTTTTTAATTTTAATATTTAAAGCTATATTCTCTTATCAAATAATCTGATATGTTATTTTATATATAAGAAAAAAATAAGTCTAGAGTCCAGAGAAGGCAGCGTAATTAATTGATAATCACTAATCGTTTACTCGGTCCTCTTTGTTTAGTACTTAATCAATTTTAATTAATTTTGTTCTTAATTACTTTGACTTTGACCACCGTGCCCCATGCTCTACGGTAGTCCCAAAATTTGGATGAAAGTGGGTCCCACAGAAATATATTAATATTAGAATGCCTGAGAATTGAGTGGCATGTATGTAATTCTATAAAAAAATTTTGCATACATGTCACATAATATTTATGTATTTATATATCTAACATTTAAATTTACATATTTATATTTATAATATTTTAATGCCATGATCCTATAAATGAAAACATATATTTCATTTATTCAAAGATTGTAATAATTTTCAATTGAATAAACAAAAATTGCATGGTATATATGTAAATATCGAAAAATTAAAATGATTCCTCAGCATATCTTATATTTGTACTTTTATGTATCATATAAATTTCTTTTTATATTTATATCTCTATTTATTTAATAATTTGATTATCTTTTTTTTTTTATATATAAATTTGTTCAAATCAATGAAACTTAAATAATTGAAATTATATCCCAATTTCCAAACTTTAATGTCTCTTAAGCTAAGTCATCTCTGATTAGAGGCTGATACAATCTTATGGAGAGCATATTTGACTAATTAATTCTAATTTTAACTCTAAATGTCTCCCAATTTCCTATGTATTTACATATCTAACATTTAAAATTTGATATTTTACCTGTATAACATTTTGGTTTTACAAACCTAGGCATGAAAAGGCTTCAAAGTTAGTGATAATGGCATTTTTATATGGGGTTGAGGATTTGAGTGGTATAAATGTAAATATTAAAGTTTAGATGGCAGATATGTAAATATGTAAGAATTAGTCTGATTTTCAGCTAATTGGGCTCGACTCGGTTTAAGGTGAATCCAAATTTAATATGAGTGTTTATATCATCTTAAAGTTTTGAATCTAATTTAAATAAATTAATTAATAATGGGCCCTTTTTTTAACTCATATATTGTATTTTATTTTGATTTGAGTTAGAAGTTAATTCAATATTTATATGATTTTAAGGGTTTGAATCTAATTTATATAATTAAATTAATAATTTATTATTTATTTTTTAAAACATTATAACATAAATTGCCACAAAATTTAATTGATAAGGCATAGATCTCGATTCTACTCTAGACAAACTAACGGTCTATTTGGGCTGATTGCGGCTTTTTGAAAAGGTGATTGTAAAATTATGATGAAGAAAACAATTTCTTAAGAAGTTGTGGTGGGAATTATATATACATTTAGAAAATTAGATAACGACTTTTTTACATTGATTGCATTTTAACAGGTCTGGTTAAAAAAAAAACAGTTTTCTACTACAAAAATTTCTATGAAACGACAAAAAACAGTTTCTCAAACAAAACTGTGGTGACAGTCAGAAACACAAAGTAGGCAGAAAGCTATACAAAAATGACCCTAAAGGCCTCATTGATCTAATCCAACAACAACATAAAAAAAGAGTAGATCCTAGTTCAAAATAGCACGAATCACATAATTGATGGTGTACTGCAGACTTTGAGAATATTAATTAAAATTGGCGGTGGCGCCACCTATTTTATCATGAACGTAGTCCCGCAGAAAACTTAATAGACTAAAGTTTCAAAATAGTCCCCAACTATTTACATAGAGTCATTTTAGTCATAGAGTTCATGGCACTGCGAAAAAGTCACAAACTATTTTAAATTGAGTTCTAACCCCAGTTTAATGATATTGAAAATTATTTTGACACTTTTATAAATTATACGAAATGGTCCCATGTAAATTATCAAAAAATATTTTGACACTGGATTCAATTCTAATATAACATCTATTTCTTAAGCAAAAAATCAACGACGCGACCCCTGAGGTCGTGGGTTTGAATCTCCTCCGACACAATTGACCTTAAGAAGGTGATACTCAAATTGTTAGACATATCAAGAAAAATTCTTCTTAAATAAAGTTAACAAAAATAAATCAGTTCGGCTATTTTGGTCCGCCGCGCTTAAGTTCAAGATTTCATTTTCCTCCCATTGATAAAGAAAGCATTAAGAAAAAAATTAAATTTAAAAAATTAGTCAATAAAATTGTTGTTATATGCACCATTTACTTAGCGAAGTATTATGCTTATGAGAAATAACAAAGTAAAACATTTATTTTTAATATGTTTATATGTTCTAAGTATATATTTTTTATTATTTTTCACTCATTATTCTCAACAATTTATGATGCCCATTCATTTCATATAGTTTTATAACATGCATATAATGTACAATTTTTATTAATTTTGTATGATTTTTTTTTTAATTTCTTAGGAAAATTTATATTATTATCATTGAAATCACATTCATATAGTTTTATAACATGCATATAATGTACAATCTTTATTAATTTTGTATGATTTTTTTTTAATTTCTTAGGGAAATTTATATTATTATCATTGAAATCACATTCTATTTGTTGGCATTCAAGCTATAAGATCACTCAAGTCAGGTGTTCGAATCCTTTCTAACACAATTGGTCTTAAGGAGGTAATACTGAAATTATGAGGTATATTAGAAGTGGTTGGAGGATTGTATAATATATATATATACACACATTTTTGTATTAAAAAAAATACGCACGTGTGGTTTACCATGACGTGAAATTACCCGCGGGTAAACCGCTGAAAAGTTGCCTGTGGGAGTAAAACACGTGGCGAAATGGTCGGCTGGTAACTTCAGAGAGATTGGGAAACGGGCCCACATGTGTGGCCCAGAAACCAACTTTTGCTAGTGGCCCAAGTCCACGTGTTACTGTCTAATTATACGTATTTTTCTGGAAGGCCCAACTATAAAATCCACGCCTCGCCCCCGACTCTCAGACAAGAGTTTTCCGCTTCTTCTCTTCTCTGCTTTCTTCTTCTAGTCTCTGAAGTCTGAGATGACGACCGTCGTGTTGCCGGAAGAGATGCTTAACCCGATCCCGTCGTCGGCGATGGTGACCGCCTCTTACCCGCCGCCTCGAAGCGCCGCGTCGACGGCCAACTATAAGAAACTTATGAGCCATGCCGATCAGCTTAGCAAAACATGCAGAGCATCATCGTGGTTGGAATCGATGAGAGACTCTTCTCCGACACATTTAAGAGTCGACAGTGATTGGAGCGTGAGTAGATTACTGTCAATTTAAGCTTTGTTTTTTGGAGTGATGTTTTATTGGGGCTAAAGGTTTCGCGCTTCTTTTATTTGGAGCAGAGGAGGTACCCGTCGGCATTGAGCAGGTTCGAAGAGATAACGGCGGCGGCTATGCGAAAGAAGATAGTCGTGTTTCTTGACTACGATGGGACTCTTTCTCCCATTGTTGAGGATCCGGACTCCGCCTTCATGTCTGAATCGGTGTGTTTTCTTGGCATGTTTCTGTGATTTCTTGCACCGGGGAATCGAGTTTTGGTTTGTTGAACTTTAGGGTTTTGGATTTTTTTGAATTTCAGATGAGATCTGCAGTGAAAGGTGTGGCTAAGTATTTCCCCACTGCTATTGTGACCGGGAGGTGCATAGATAAGGTACATTGTGGTATTACCATTTACAAATTATATGGGTGAAGGATTTTCTTATGTTTTTAGGGATTAGCTCGTGTATTTTCGCTCTTATATTTTAGTTTTTTTAAAAAAATTGTTTAGGTGTTTAGCTTTGTGAGATTAGAGGAGTTATTCTATGCGGGAAGCCATGGAATGGACATCAAAGGGCCTACAAAATGCCCTAAACACGTAAATGCTCAGGTTGGTGAGCATAATTTACGACACAATCTTTTCTTTATGAATATATAAACTTACTTAATTGCTTTAATTATACGAATCCCTTACTGAAATCTTCTTTTTAATGGTGTTCTAGGCACAATCAATGCTTTGTCAACCTGCAAGTGAGTTCTTGCCAATGATTAATGAGGTTAGTTTCATTGAAGTTAAGAAGATTACCTCTGAAGCTTTATCTTACAACTATTATAACTTAATTTCTCTCACCTATATCGAAAGGTCTACGATTTACTTTTGGAGAAAACCAAATTGATCCCTGGTTGCAAGGTTGAGAACAATAGATTCTGCTTATCAGTTCACTTTCGATGCGTGGAAGAAAAGGTAATGATCTTGAACAAATTTCAGTTCACAAAATCTTTTTCTTTTTTTCTGATAAAAAAATGTCTGAAAAATGAGATGAAAACTAGCTATAACTAAAGATTTTTGTAACAAAATTTCATTCCTGAACTTTGTATCAGAGATGGAGTGGGCTTGTTGAAGAAGTTAGATCTGTGCTTGCCATCTATCCCGATCTCCGATTAACTCAAGGAAGAAAGGTATGCATTTTTTAGTTTTATTGCATTCATTTTAATGGAGAAGTTGTTTAAGAATTAGTCTTTGAATACTTATGTTATCTTCGTTGGGAAATAGGTGAATTCTTTTTCAAACATGTTGAGCGAAGAAGAACAAAGAATTGGATAGTAGTTCAATGAATAAAACCACACAATAATTTGATATGGGTCCTCCCAATTAATAGCTACAACATGTTGATTACGATGCATATTTTACTACCTAACCAAGTGCAAAATTAAATCCTTAATTCCTTTGATGCAATTCTTTGATATAAGCCATGGCGTCACCTATTCTTAAGGGAAATTTTAGGTGTTGTATTTTAAGTTTGTAACGCTTTTAGCAACTTTAGTAAATCCTATAAATTTTGATTTACTTAATCCCACCAACAACAGGATTTAATAAACCCGGGATTTAAGGCAGACCTGAGAAAATTTTGAGAAGAAACTGGATTTACTAACTTTTGGATTCAAATTTGTAATTTTCTTGTCTGGCAGGATTCAAGTTAAAATTCTACTTAAACCCGTTGTCATATAGCCCCTTAGAATTCAACAAAATTTTCTAAATGCTTCTGTAAAATAACCCACAAATATTGAATTTTTTTATAAAGTCTGAGTTACTCGTTGGCTTAGGCAAGAGATTTTGTTTCTAATAGTAGATAGTAGAAAATTCAAAGAAAACGAAATTTGGATGACCTTGGCCTTGACTTGTATCTGATTTTTGACCATACAGGTGTTGGAGATTCGCCCTACAATTGAATGGAACAAAGGCAAAGCGCTCGAGTTCTTATTAGAAAAGCTTGGTAAGCTTATAGATATCATGCCCTCAAATGCTTTCCCTAACTGATTTTAGGGGCATTTACATTTATACCACACAATCCTTACGTATTTACTTATCTAACACCTAACCATTCATAGTCACATGCATGCCACTCAAATCTTTGACATCACATAAAAAATAACACCTTTTCATACATAGGTTAATGACCAAGGTGTTATAAGTGCAATTATCAAACTTTAGGTGTTAAATATGTAAATAAATAAGAATTGTGTGGTGTTTATGTAAATCTCCCTTACCTTTATTATTAAGTCATCAGCCATCAAATATGACCAAAAATTTAACTCCGGTCTTATAACTTTTTTCAGGATTTGACAATTGTGAGGACATTTTGCCCATCTATATTGGGGATGACCGCACCGACGAAGATGCATTTAAGGTATATATATAGAAGAAAATCATAATATTTCATATTCTCTCATTCAAAATTTGACCGTTGAGGTTCAATGAACATGTTTCTTAATTAAACTTCTTCATCAGGTTTTGCGTGACAGAGAGCAAGGATTTGGTATTTTAGTTTCCAAATTTTCAAAGGAAACTAATGCCACTTACACCCTCAAAGAGCCATCTGAGGCAAGTAATTATTCTACTGTTTATATATTAAAAAAAGAAAAGGATTACAATTGATAGATTAATTAACTTCAATATCTGTATTCATCAAACAGGTCAGAGATTTTCTTCATCGATTGGCTGAGTGGAAGCGGTTTTCTCTGAAGGCCAGGTTAAGGGTGTAAATAATACAGTTTCAAAGTTTCTTTCTGTTAATAATCCTCACGCAATAGGAAAGTTTTCAAAGGGAATGGCAGGAGAGGTTTTTCATCCTTCTCTTGTTATTCTTTTCATGTGTCTTCCTGTGGGGGACTTAGAAGAGCTGAGTATATACAATGTTGTTAACTCTCATGTCCCCCATAAGAGAAGTTCTTAGAATTTAGAAGCCTTTTGTAATTATGCTTTAAGCAATGAAATGAGAAATGAAAGAAGGTTTACTTTGTAAACTTTGTAAATTTAATTTTGTTGATTAGAAAAATATATAGAGAACTATAGTGATGTCTGAAATGTAAAACAAGCAAAAAGCTTTCTAAAATAGAGTCCTAGGAGCCCATTGTTAGATGTATGAGAACAAGAGCACAAAACAGAATGAAGGGTTGATATTGGATCTAATTTCTAAAGAGTTGAATTGACCTATGCATCAACCATAAGGATTTGAAGTTTGATTTTGGATCTAAATCCTGAATAGTTGAATTGACCAATGTATCAACCAGACAGAATTGAATTGAAGCTCGATTTATGTGGTTTTACTTTGGTTCAATCGCAATTGAAAAACTCGATATTTTTTTTTTTCTTTATTCCTCCTCTCTCTCCATAACAATAGGTATACATTACTAGTTTCATACTAAATCAAAAAACTAAAGAGAACCGTAGTGGTGTTCTTGGTGCACGATACACCTACTTGACATAATAAAAGCTTTTCAAAAACAGAGGAAACACAATAGAAGGAAAGAAAAAGAAATATATCATTCAAAGGAAGAAATCCTAAAATGTAATCATAAATATATTTTCTCAAGTTTTAATCACCCATAAAATTCTAAGTCCATGCTTCTTAGCCCCACAATCTTGGATGATAGTTCAAGTCCTATTCTTCAAGCCCCCATCCATTGACCTTTAACCTCATAGGAAATTGAATAAGAAGCAAAATCCATGAATTTTTTTCTTGTTGTTTATACTTGACCCTACAATTTTCAGCTAAAGCAATTCTCCATAATGGAAATAATGCCTTTATAAATGTTATATTTGCTCTAGCTTCATAGTGATACACCATATTAAAGCTTGGGTTATGAGTCCTCCATTTAAGGTTTATACTTCTTCCTTGCCTGAAGATTTTTGATAAAGAAGTCATCAGCAGCAAATGATGTAATTTTCGAGCGAACGGTAAGAAACAAGATGTTTATTGCGAGGCAAATAAGGATGATGATGAGAGAAGATTTGAAAGAAGTAATAACAAAATAGGGACATTTTAATTCTTAATCAATGTTCATGCACCTGCTACAGTGGAACCTTAATTGTTCTCCTTTAAACTAGTTAAGTCTTTTTCATCTCAATGTTGTGTAGCATTATTTGAGAGAGAGAGAGAGAGAGAGAGAGAGAGAGAGAGAGAGATAAGCACATAAAAATATTTAACGGCAATGTAGTTCATGGATTGGTAGTCAAGGATCTCAGAACGTGTTGGGTCGACTACCTTCACGACCAACTGGACTTAAGGTTTTAGTAGCTTGGGATAATGGGTCAATGGTACCCTAATCCAACTATCTCTACCTTTTAGGGATTACTCCCCCTTCCTTTGACTACCCCTATTAAGTCTTGTTGCTCGTTGACTTCGTCGATATCATCTTGATGACCCGATGCTGGTGCGCTGTCGTCCGTTTGAGATACGACGATTTATTCTCTGCACTTATGGCTTAGACGTGCTTTGAAGTATTAGGATATCCCCATCAAGATGATTATGGTTATTTTATGGGCTCCGTATGTCGATGAACCGCTACTCACTTGAGATGTGAGAGACTTTCTCTACCCAATGACTTACCAAGAGCTTTGAAGCATCGAGGCGTTCTCACACCGAATAACCTTCCTTTGATGACATATTTCACCAAGTTCATGATAATATAAAGTGAAACCTAGTTTATCGAGAGTATTCTTTGATACCTCCCAAGATGTAATTAACAAAGTGAAATACGCCCCCCTAGAAGTGCTCTTGACCCCAAAACAAGCACATACACCTGAAACTCTGATTCTTAGTAGTTTACATAGATAATCTTTCTCGGATACTGTCCCAATGTGACTCTACCAGATCTTGTTTGGCCAGGCATGCTTGACCTATTCCTAAGAGGTTTATCGCACGTAGGCTCTCCACTTTCTTTCTTTGTTTGTCATCATTGTCGTATGTCCGTCTTTTCTGGTTTCTCTCCTCCCAATTATTCATATGATTGGGAAGAGAGATATATTCAGAAAATGAAAGTATACGATGACTGATAAGTTGTCGACACTTTAAAAAAAAATCAATAATAACAAAAATGAACGAAAACATTCTTTTTGATTCTCTGGTTTGGGTGGCTTACATAGTGACCTTTCTCGTGGATATTGACATCGAGGTATTTCGATCTGATTATGTTCAGACGTATATTCATGGTTTATCACATAAGAATTACCTCTATACAAACCCTTCATCTTTCTTTTTAATTAATTGTCTATCTTTTTTTTGTCGTATATCACATCCCTTCAATTCATCTCCTATTATGATAGTTTATACGATTCGAGAGGGTGATTTATTCAAATGGGGGAATCATTCGACGATACTAAATGGACAAACTGATGATTCCGATGTTAATATGAACGAAAAACATTGTCAACAAGTTTAATAGTAAGATTCTATCATTAAAAAAGTCCAATAAAATCTATTCTTTCAATTTTTATTTACTGAGATGTTATCATTATCAACTAGTGGTAACTAACCATCTTTTTAATTTCTGTTGACCGTCGTCGACTTTCGTTGATCGTCATCGACCACTGTTGATCGTCGTCAACAACCATTGACCTCCATCGACCACCACCAACCATCGTTAATCTTCGTCGATCGTCGTCGATCACTACTAACCGCAACCAACCACCATCAACTAGATGTCACCAATCGCTATTGGTCGCCACCTGTTCCTCGTAAAAAAATCATCAACATGTCAACGTTATAACTTAGACCTAGTAACTTTTTCCTGCCAATGAGACAAGTTGTTGCAACTGTAATCATATTTTCATAGTAAAGCTCTTCAGTTGAGTTAGACCCCTATGGTTTTTCCATTTCCAGGTTTTCCACATAAAAACTTCAGGTGTCATTATTAGTTTATTTCTTTTTTCAAAGTGTGTGTTGAATCTTCGTACCACACTAATATAATATTCAACTACTCTACTATTGTAAATTTTCTAGCACACATCAATATCATAATTAACTAAAATATTTCAAGTACATGTTAAAAATATATAAATTACTTAATCTCAAATGAGGGGCCGACAAATTCTTATACATCTAGATTACTTTAAACAAAAATAAAATAAAATTCATCGTAATTTTATTAAAAGTACTCGTCAAGCTCATGTATTAATATGTAAATTAATATTTATATTCAAGGGCTCGACAAAGAACAAGCTTTATGTCAAACTCACATTTAAAATTTTGAATTCATATGGTGTTAATCAGTACATCCCTTAGGGGAATACTATATATATATATATTTAGACCATACAAAAAAGGAATATGGGTGAAGTGAATATTAATACTTGAAGCAATGAATAAGTGTTACAAAATATTGGAGAATTAGAGTTACAAAAGAAAAAAAAAAAAAAAAAGAGGTTTATAAATATTTGAAAAATCAATTTTCATAATAAAAAAATTCACATTTCGTGAATTAATATATTATCAATAATACTATTTCTAAGAGTTGATATAATAAGACATGTAATTAAGTCAATTTTACCCTTCTTATTTTTGAACTCTAAGAATATAGAGTTTAAAAATACATGGCAAATAATAAATCATTAGAAAATTCACTTCTTTATGACATAAAAATTATTAAGTCAAACCAAATAATTAAAATGTAAACATATAAAAATTTTATGGTATTAATTATTTATTAAATGATCTCCAAATCTTACATGCTTACAATTAAATCAAGCATATTCAATTTTGAGGCCTACGAGTAATTTAATTGATGAATAAATTGTGACATCAAATGAAATAATATAAACTGTTCGATGGAGTATTTTGAGATTTTGAATAAAATAATTAAAATACAATTAAAAAAAATTATAAATGACTCCTCATTCTTCATATGATCTAGAATTGAAATTAGAGAATCTTAGAGACCAAACATTTTTAAAGCCCTATCTAACAATCAAACTCATCATCTTATCGTCATCAGCCAATTATAGTCCAATTATCATTATTCGATTACTATTGTTGAACTATCATTGTTTGATTGTTGTTTCTCTTCTTACTGATATATCTCTGTCACCTTCATCTGAACGGCCTCACCTCTTACTATTATCCGACGACGATCATCTCTCTTCAACTCTTCTATTATAATCACTATAGGCTAATCAAGCATTCTTTGTTTTATAATCTCATATTCTTCCAACTATGGAGAAGATCATACTCTTCAATCTTCGTATATGGAAGCTTCATAAGAAAAATGATAATGATGATGATCTACAGTCTTGATATGTTACTCTAATCGCCCGTGAGCTCGGTTTTCTATCTGATTCGAATGCATGCTAAGTGTTAACTCCTATGTAATCCTATAATTATAATTACTCTTAAATTCTCAAATCCCAAGTAAAAAAATAAATATTTATCAATTTTTATTGTTATCATACCACATCATTTATATGAGTGTTACTACTGTCATGTGTGAAGTACCATAAAAAATATTACAACAGGACTTTAATCACTGCTTGTCACGTGTACAGAGCCGATCGTATATTAAATTATTTAGTTTTTTTATTAAAAAAATTAAATCCATACACACGACAGACAGTTATTAGAATACAGTTGAGATTTTACATTAGCACTCCCCACATATT